CTCTTTTTCTTCCCTCTCTGCTCTCCCCACTCCTCCTTCCCTCCCTCCTTCCCCCATTTAAACATTTAAATCCATTTTAAAAGTTCATTTATCAGTGGACTTTTTCTTGTTTTGACGGGGAACAAGAATTATGCTTCCCCGATTCTTGTCTTTATCACGAGAACTTTCCAGCAAGGTCTCCTGGATATAGTACCGAGAGATTTGAGCTCAGCAGCATCAACCAAGCAGCAACCTTGCTACTAAAACGGAGTGAAAGGTTCCAGCCTCTTGGGAGACGCAAAACGCACTCCGAGGTCTACCTGGAATGGTTTCCAAGACAGAACATCACCAAAGCAACTGTGGATTTTCAGAGGCATGAAATGCCACGCTGGGGTTTAAGATCCCTTTCCTCTCCAGAAGCTGACATAATTCAGGTTTTGCACACACACACACACACACAACACTATCTCCTTTTGGACCATGAGAGGCAGCCAATCAAGCCTTTCGCCTGGCTGTAAATTGGGATTTGATTCAAATGTTTACACCGGCACCACCATCTTCTGGGTTTAATTTCTGGGGTTGCTGCTGTTGCCGTTATTAACTAAAGTCAACGGGGTTGTCCTTGCCAAAGCCCCCAAGCAGATGAACGTAACCAGAGTAAGGAACGTTGCTTTTCGGTAGCAGCAATTCAGACGCAACCACAAAGCGACAAAACAAAGCAGAAGTGCAGGAACAGGAAGGTTAGGATCCAGTGGGAAGCCAACATTTCCAGTTGGATCCTGCCCACTGGATCCCTGGCTTCCCTCTGGATGGAAATTATTCCTCGATTTTGCTGAATGCATCGGAGAGACTCAATCATGAGGCTGACAAATTGATAAGACCAGGATGGCCACAAACTTTTTTGGTGGACCTGAACATTGATAGGTGAGATAGTTGATGTTCTTCGTTTTAATTGCTGCCTGTCACCTGGAACCTATTTTGATGCCGGGGATATTATCTAAGTCTTCCCATACCTGGTGAGATAAAAAATGTCCTCCATAGTTTCTTGTCGCGAGTAACGTCCCTTATTTCTCTGGTCATGTTAACCAGTCTGCCTGCAACTGGTGGGACACGACGGAAATCCAGGATCCTGGAAGAAAAAACAGGAAGAGATGGTTTTAATCTGCTAAATCCCACAAAACAAAATCTTCTGCAGGATGGGCTTTAAATATCGTAATGGGTTAGTCGGTTAGACCTCATAATAATGAGCCAAAAAATAATGCAAAAAAGAGCGGGGTTGGAATAAGTCAAGATTAAAACCTGGCTTGTTCATTCTGCTTGTTGGATTTATTGAGATTTGAACACATGGGGGCCTTAAAGAACTTGAGAAATGGTCTAGTGGGAACCACTCCTAGGATGTACCAGTTCAGTCCTTCAGACTTTGGGACAAGGTTTTCTTTTGAGTGCTACAGATAGAGACAATTTATAGGGGATTGTTCACCACAAGGATAGGTCTCCCCAGTGCTAATATTCACATGGTGGAACTCTCTACCTTTGAAGGTATATCAGAAATCACCATCAATTCTACTTCACTGTGGACTTCCATGTGAACTCACATGGAGGAGGAAGAGGAGGAGGAGAAGGAGGAGGAAGAAGAAGGAGGAGAAGAAGGAGGAGGAGGAGAAGGAGGAGGAAGAAGAAGGAGGAGAAGAAGGAGGAGGAGGAGAAGGAGGAGGAAGAAGAAGAAGGAGGAGGA